TTTGTATACCGATTTCGATAATTCTTTTTTTTATATGAGAATTGAAGAATTGAATTGAAGTGTTTTTTGCTTAAAAAATACTTGTTTCAAATTCTATTCAAGCGACTACCTTTTGATTTCCCTATCGCGCATCACATCAGTCACGTAAAGAGTATTTTTGTACTTATGCTAGAAAGCTTAAAGGATTTTAGAATTAATAGGTATACACTTATCAGCGATGTAAGCAAAGTGAAGTTTATAAAATGTGTATAAACAAAAAAAAGTGAATTAATTAAAGAAAATGTGTATATAATAATAATTCCTATCTCTTATTTATTTTCTTTTATTTAGTTTTGCATTGCTTAACTTTTTATGGCGCTTTCTCAGAACGATTGACATGACTATGATATTTATTTTCATACTAATAAAAACAAACATATCTAGTTTTGTTTCAATATTTTGTTTACTATTTTTCTTGCCATTTAATATCAATGGCTTCACATAGCACGTGGTGCAGTTACATACATATTTATATACATATGTATATTTACAATAATTTTGTCCGTGAAAATCCGGATTTCAGATTTTGTCTGAGTCTGGGTTTTCTTCTGACCGGACATGGGCCATTCAACGCGTATTTGCATAGTCGGAATCTTCACGATTCCGAAGGTTGTGCATGTGGTGCGCAAAGTGAGGATGCCGGTCACGTTGTTTGTGAATGTCCGATGTACTCTGACATTAGGGATTTAACTGGGATGGGTATTAGATGGACTGACGGACGGTTTATTTTTGACAATGCTCTCTCTTCGAGTCAGCATGTTGAAAGTTTGGGGGTATTTGCACGAGAGGTGTTTAGGCGAAGAAGGCGTGCAAACAGTTGAGGGGTAAATTCATGGGTGGGGATGGCCACTAGTCCAGAGTTGAATGGTAACTCAACTGGTAGTAGCTACGGCTACGAAGTCTGACCGGAGACTTAATTCTGGTACCACGGGGAGCAGTTTTGCCCACGGAGTTTACTCCAATCTGCTCGTTGCGGATGGCCCTTCGGGGAGTTTCGGGGTGGCTGTGGTTTAAACCCAAATGCGGGGAGAGTCGTGTTGACTCGATGTGGAGTTGCATTGCAACCGGGTGCCGGACCCATAGCACGGCAGAAGTTTAGATAGGCCTCGAACCCTAACAAGGTGGTTAGTGTGTCCATTCCGCACTGCCAATTGGTACCGAGATGCTTGCATTTAGGGGCGTTGATCATCGCATTGAATTGATCCGTTGAGCTTTAGGGGCTCCGTGGAGCTTGGACTGCATACTGCGGAAGCTACCCACGTAAAACCTAAACTACATCTGTACAAAAAGTAGGACAATTCGAAAAAGTTCCATCAAAATTTCTAGCTTTTTAACTAAATTTATTAAAACTCTTGTTAGCGTGCAGTTTTATAGCCCATTAAATTTAAGCACAATAAAGTGCAAGTTTGAGATAGCTAGTGCTCACTGTTGACGTTTGGAAATTTTTTTGTCGCAGGTGTTGCTAATTTTCTCATAAAAAAATGTCGAAAATATTTTATATGGAAAAAAAATTTTAACACAGTCAACAAAAAAAAAATTGCCAACAATTTTCGGTTTTTTAAAAACACTTCAAACTTACACAACAAAAAATTAATGGTATACAAAACTTTATATCTAAAATGTTTTTTAAACTATGAATAAAATGTTTGAAGTTTTAATGAATATTTGTCGAAATTCGTGAAACTTTTTATAAATCTTATAAAAATTTTGATTTTTTTTTACTTGGTTTTTGTTAGACAGTAAGCCATACTTTTATAAAAAAAATAATAAACATTAAAAGACCAAATAAAAATGGCAAAACTTGTTAAAATGTTGCGTGCCTGTTGCTTCTACTTGCGTTTGCACATACTGCATATTTATTAGCAATGATATGCTTTTATTTGCGCTTGCGTTTTTCACCCGTGCTTATGTCGTGCCCACTCAGCGGATGTGTTAGAAGCACGTTCCAAACATATATTTATTTTTAATGTATTTGAACATAAATGCTTACAAGCAAATGTGCATATACAGTGAAACCGCGATATAACGAACTTTGCTAAAATAACTATTCTTTATAAAAACACATTTGCTAAGTTCCATAAAAAACCTCGTTCTTGAAAAATTTTCCATACAAAGCTGTTCCATACATATAGGGTCCCGTTAGAAAAGGTCCCTAGAAAACAAACGACTCAAAAGCCTCTAGCCAAAGGTTTTGGTATTCTATAAATATACATACATGTATATAAAGAATATTTGTTAAACTACTTCAACTTCGTTATATCGAGGTTTCACTGTAGCGCGAATACAATACATATATACACATGGACTTCGTCATGTACTTAAGCATTCACGCTCACATAAGTCTCTTGCAGGTAGTTGATTATAATTATTTTGATTTTGTGATTAGACAACTTTTATTTTATTTTATAAGCGTACAATTAACAACCAGTAGTAATTAAATGTTGTATGTTTTTATGATGCGTTAAAATTAGCTAAAAATTAAATTCTACTTTTAATATGCAATTTTAACTCGAGAGCAATTAATTTATTTCTATTTTCAAAAATTTATTATATAAACAATTTCGAGTTAGTTATGTATGCCACCTAGGCGTGGCAAAATGTGTTTGTGCATGATATAGCAGTACGGAGTCAAGGGTTCAATTTCTACTCTGGATGTGCAAAAAAAGAAAGCTCTTTGGCCACACTACGATAGTGAAACTTAATTCGCATAATTTCACAGTGCAACAAATTTTGAAACGTTCGATGGGCATCGGACCACCTGCATTCGTCTAAGCTGGTCAAATGGTGAAAAAGTACCAAAGGATTTGAAAAAGTTGGTTACCATTTTTTTAAGACTATTTGAAGTTGGAGAGCTAGGTATGTAAGATCCCAAAATGGCAAGCTATAATTTTTCTTTATTTTTCAAATTTTTCTTTGTTATCAATATCAAATCAAAGAAAATACATACTTGAGTCAAACAAATTATAAAAAAATCACAGTAAAAATATTTTCAATTATTATCCCGTATCACTGATCAAAACCGCTGGAGTAAACCGTCGCCACACAGTGGTGCAAAAGTGAAATTTACTACCAAAATATTTCCGAGCCTTCATTTTGTATACGATTTCACTTATTTATTTTATTTATCAAAGCTGTTAAAACTTATAAGAGACCAGTTGAGCCCGATCGTTATTATTTTTTGTTTATACGTATACATTTTTTTAGCTCAGAGTGTAGAGAAAGTAGCAATTTTGAAGAAAATCGATTTTGGAGTTTCTGTTAATAAATGTTACATACTAAAAAAATATTAGGGTTCCCCCAAAGCAAAAACAAAATCACCAGAAAAATTTTAAATGTTGTAAAAAATTTCCACCAAATTAATTTTTTTGTTGTTGAGTTTTTAGAAAGCTTACACTGATTCTGATGCGACAAATGTTGAAGCCGTTTTTGATAGACTTTTTCGTGCTGATTACAAATCTGTAAGTATAAAATTTCCATAAGCTCCAGATTTTATGGATAACGAGGACAAAGTGTCAAAAATCGTGTTTTTGCAATATTTGAGAAGCTCTAGCACAAAAACAAAAAGTGGTAGAACCTTCCTCTTTAATTAAATCTAAAGCTTCCGACTACTGTCCCTAGAAAGGGATATAGATTGAGACACTGAAACTCACCACACCTTAACTCACCACCCAGATCCTACCACACCCTAACACTTTGACTCACCATAGTTTAATCACGCCTATTCTCACCTAAACGCATCACACCTTAACTCACCTCACCTCAATTTGGGAGCCATTTCTGGATTATCGCGGCTAAATCAAGATTCCCAAGACCATTTCGGGACTCTCGGGGCCATTTCAAGATTATAGCGACTATTTCGGAATTTCCGTTATATTTATCGATCCTGTTATCGATAAATCTACCGATTTTGGAGTTCTTAGGATTATCAATAAAAGCATCGATATTGTTATCGATGTAATATTCGATATTGTCATTAATATATCTATCGATTTTGTTATCGATGTAATATTCGATATTGTCAATGATATATTTATCGATATTTTTATCGGTATATGTATCGATATTATATTTGTATATGTATTTATTGATATATTAATCGATATTGTTATTGATGTAATAATCGATATTGTTAATGATTTATTTATCGATATAAACCGATATTTTTGTAGATATATGTGTTTGTAGGTTTTGTTATCGCTATAATAATCGATATTGTTATTGATAGATGTATTTGTCGATATATTTATCGATTCGATCGATCGGCACGAGATGAAAGTTTTATTTGCGGCTGTCTATACATATTTCTCCAAACAGTGCAAAAAGTAATATGTGACCTGATCTACGAAAAGGGAGCTTACGTGCGAAAACTAGTTTTCTGTGAAAAAGCTGTTAAAAGTAAGCAACTCGTTTCGTCAGTTTCTCATTATCTCGTTAATTGTTCTCCGCGCCGGACGTCCAGTAAGTGTTGTTGTTGCTCCAGTAAGTGTTGTTGTTGGTCGGAATNCACTTCTAAGCAAGTTAGGATTTTCTGCTTTTCACCACGTGAAAAATCATCTCATCTTCCATCCGAATCAACCAAAAAGTGAAAATTGATTTTTTGACACCTAAGCCCCCTTTCCGTAGACCAGCTCACATATAAATCTATCTTTACATAGTCGGCTGCGTGTGTTTAGTTGTGAAGATTTTAGCAATCTTTCCCAAGTTGCAGCAATAGATCTTTAAGATATTGATTTCCTGCAGCAACAACTTACTCATCAATAACTCATTTTATTTCTACAGATCCATCAACCATCTCCTCATCGACAACTACAACAGAAGCATCCTTGCGCGCAGCTGAGACGACGCAACACGGTGACAGCGCTGCACCCAGTACTGCCATCACCAACAATAGTGCGCCTGCGCCACCATTAGTAATGCCAATAACAACAATAGAGCCAATTATTACAACTGAACCAACAACTACGCCCACAAGCGAGTACAGCAGCGAGCGACAGGCAAAAGAACATATTGCGCCGCCTGATGCGGACGTTGAGACGCATCAAACGATTACAACTACAACAACAAGTGCAACACCAGGCACAAAGGAAGACGTTATACTGCCGCATGTATTGGCCGAGCATGCCCAACACATTATCGAGGTGGACAAAGCAGAGCACAATCACAATCCGCCGCATATGCACTTAACACCCTACGACGCGGATCACATACAGCATATACATGGACATCATGGACACGAGCACGAGCACGATCACGATCATACGCATGAGCACGCCGACGATGTAGCGCACCTCGATCACATGCACGAGCACAATGCCCACGAAGAACACTCGACGGAGCATGTGATCTCCTCGACCGCAAATGACATTTTCGCTGAGAGCAAGGAACCAAGCAAACCACTCGACACTCCTTTTTTGGAGAGCAATGCGCATGCGGAGGGTGTGAATGACACACATGGCGGGGAGAAGATCGTGCACACACCCGCTGAGGTGCTGATCAACCAGATCTCACACGAATTTGAAGAGGATGATAAAGATTTGAACAATTTTCGGCATCCGGCAACGCTGATTACTGCCAGCAATAGCGACGAATCGATGATGGCCGCCATGATGGCGGCAGCAATGAAAGAAAACGAAAGAGATACAACAGCGGCGATGGGAGAGCCAGCAGCGCGGCATGAAGAGGATCCCTACCACGCGCACATACTCTCCGAGCAGCACGATCGTTTGGCCGAACAGGAAGATTTCAAACTAATCGCGGAGGACTTGAATAGTTCGACAGAGTCGCATTTAGAGACGACAACGCAGAAAGGCGGCGAAGTGGCAAAGAAAGTCGAAGCAAACGCAGAAGATAATTTGGCTGTTGTAGTACCAGCAATTGCAATGATCACTACAACAAATACAACAAATGAAGAACGTGGACGTGCAATGAATATAGTCGAAGTCGAGCAGCATAGAGCCGAAGAAGCGCCTGTTGTGACAACAACGCCACCATCAAGCGCGATTAAAGAACCAGTTGTGGTGCCGATCGTCGAAGGACAGCTACAGCACCAACACACTGACAATCATATGCACGTAGATGATCACACGACCACTGAAATCACAACCACAACAAAATCAGAAGTCAACAACAACAACAGCGAGGCGACACTTAAAAGCGACGAAGATTCGTCATCAACACCATACCCACAACATTTTTACTATCATGGCGAGGGTCGATCTGTGGGCGATAGCATATCGGCGGAGAATGACGATGTACCATTGAACTATCAATACCACAATTTTGTGACCACAGAACGCGACGGCAACAACAACAATAAAAGTGTTGTACATAAGAGCGGCGCTTTGTTGGATTTAAGCGATATTAACATGGATGAAGACGATAAAATGGATGTGACGCATAATACGCACGAACAAAAGCAACAACAAGAGCAACAACAACAGGAGAAGCAACTTGTAGAGCACAATCACAATAACCATAGCGCGAATGAAGGCGAAGAACAACAACTGAAGATTACCGAGGTTACGAAGGCAGCAGTGGGTGCGGCCGCAGCGGCTATGCTGCAAGACTGCACTGGCAGTGATGAGAAGATGTACAAGGTGAGTGCGTGTGTACTTAAAAAATTTCTTGATATATGTGTGTGTGTGTGTGTGTGTGAAAAAATTCATATAGTGTGTGACATCATTATTTCGATTGCGAATGAGGTACCTTTTCGTGGGAAAAATAAAAATATGCAAACCAAGCAAAAAAGGGATTTATTCAATGGAGTTAGGAAAACAAATTTTTAAACATTGCGTTTCGCATACATATTTGGTAATTACTTCTAAGAATATTATTTATTCACAACTGGAAATTACTCAAAACATACACAGTATTTCGCTTGCCATTTGACTGTTGCTGAACGATTTGTGCCTTCGCTAATCAATACGCGAAGCTTCACCCCATTCGCTAAAGTTAAAAATTTTCATACACTAAATCGTTTCACGTAAAGAAAAAAAACATAAATAAATAAATTCAGGTAAACAACTTGTCGTTTTGCAATCGTCGCACGACTTCGAAAACCAGCTTTCAGCGACGCTTCATTTCACTTTCTTCACGTTCACCAAATTGAACATTGAGGTTTATTTTAACGATCGTTCGCTTGGGCTCCACATAAATTGCGTAACATTTGAGTACACAAAAAGGCATACAAAAGAAAAATCGTGTCAGTGCTAAATTTTTTAATTTTTACTTTTTGCCACTAAAATATGCATAAGCATACATATGTACATAAATCAATCACTTGGAGTTACAGATGTACTGTTTATATAACCTAGTTTTTGGCTACTTACTTTTTTTTTTGCTGGCGCCAAGGCTACTTCATTTCGCAGGCTTACACTTATTCGTCCCTTGGACATGAAAATAAATAACGCGCAGGAAATTTTTATGAAACTTGTATTTCTTATTGCGCACATAAAATGTCTATTAGCTCAAATAAAGAAGTCGAAGAATAAAAAAAATACTTTTTTTACTTCAATGAATTGTTAGGAACCTGCTTTACGCTTTTTAATTTAATTATTTGAATCAAGTTTTCTTTTTATTTTTAGATTTTGCATTAAAAAGATTTTTTTATTTCATTTATGCAATTTTTATGACCTTTTTTCTTCTTTAATTTCATTTTTTCTTTCTTTCTTTTAAATTTCTGATTTTAGTGTTTTAAAAAGAATACTTTTATTAATTTTATTTACTTTAACTCTTCAGATTTTATTTTTTTAAAACAAAAAATATGAATATCTTAATTTCTTTTAATTTTTAAAATTTTTATTTATTTTCAATTTTGATTTTGCTTTCTTTAAATTTTTTAAGTTTAGTTTTATTGTTTTAAAAAGAAAAGTATAATTATTTGTTTTTTTTGTAATTAAGTAATTTAATTAATTTTTAAAAAACCTATTGCTAAAAGATAAAAGGAATAAGACCTCCTCTTTACCATATCGTTGAACTAGTATTTCGAAAGACATTAAAGAGCTTTCAAGTTAGTTGCTATATTACCCTGTTAGTCTTTAGATCGGTGAAGGCCACCGCCTTTACCATGGCCAAAGCTCTTTTAAGCTTTCTAAACGTTTATTATAGGCCCGTGCAGAGTCAAAGCTCTCTCTGCCCATCGCTGCTTTAGGCGCCAAAGTCGACACTGCCCCACCAGAGATGTCTCCCTTTCCACTTAAAAAGTATCTCAGCCGAAGAAAGTTTCGAATTTGTTTATCAGGCAAGTTGACCTAACCTAAGTAAAGGTGTACATGCCATCCGCGCGTGCGCAAATATGTACATACATATGTACCTAAGTGTATTTAAACCAACTTAAAAACTGCTTTAATGGCATTCCTGCGCAAATTTTACTGCGCTGCTACCACAAAGAAATGTATTTACCAAAGGTTCAAACCAATTCAACCTTGGTTGCTGCATTATGAAGACAGAGAAAATCAGCCATTTAAAGCCAACACTCTAGCAGTGCCACGCCTATTAGCAGTCACTTAAACAGCTACTTAAATATGCAAAAGAGATTTCACATTGCGCCATCATCAATAGCAACAATTCGAAAAAACAACGCTTGCAAGCAAGCTATTGACTTGCAGACGACTTGCCGTGTATGTATGTATCGAAGAGTATGTGGCAAATGGAATGCGGTACGCAGTAGCATGCGGTAGGCGACAGGTGGCAGGCGGCAAGCGGTTGGTGGCGGCATGTGGCGTATGCATGTCCACTACAACAACTATTGGCATGACATGCGTCACGACGAGCCGACTGAACGCTTCACTGCCGCCTTGTGCAGTGTGCAAACAACACGACAATAAATGAAAATATTTGCAGACCATATTGAAAAGTGAAAGTAAAATTCGATTTTTATTTTATGTTTGCGCGCTTCGCGTTTTTCACTTGTGGACGTACTCATATATATGTAACCACGAAAATGCATCAATGAAAGCAAAATAAAATGCAAAAAATCGGAGGCGGACAAACAAGTGAATAAGTATCTAGATATGCACGAATGTATATGAACACATGTGAATATGTATGTACGAGGGCAATTGAAAAAGTCAGGGAATTAAAATGCAACACCGCTCCCTTCAGCTGCCATCTGATAATAGACTACGATAAAATTTTGATTAGGCTGCATCATATCGAGAAATTTATTTTCGATGCAGAAATGTATCTACATGTATGCTCTAGGAACATTTCTCAATCAGAAATAAAATTTTAAGAAAATGTCGCTTATGTTTTTTGGCAGGTAGGGCTCGATATAGTTTGTGTTTGTTTGACAGCAGAGAACCTCGTGAAATTTAACGAAATTGATAAAAGGAAATATCGTATGCTGACCAAACATTATTTTACGTGTAAAAGACCATCTCCGAAATCAAGGAAAGACCTGATAAATACTATACTGCACCATCACTTTAAATGGTTAAGAAGTAGTTTACTGCGTTAAACATATGTAAATAATCGGTCTGCACGATGGGTGCATTCACTCGACCAACAGCGTAACCGTGTGCCAACTTCAAACGAGTGTTGGACGTAATCCCAATGAATTATTGGGCCGTTTCGGAACAGTGGACGAAATATGGATCCACCACATCACACCTGAGACCAAGGAACTATCAAAAGCGCGCATAAAATAAGGCCAAAGTGAGTCAGTAGGCCAATAATTAATGGGATACACGCGGTGTGGCTGGCTTACATCGATTACCTTGAAAAATCCAAAACGACTGCCAGCGAATATTGTTCGGAGATTTTAAATAGACTCGATGTTACTTTGAAGTAAAAATGACCACATTTAGCCGAGAAAAAAGTGTTATTAGAAAATCCATCAATTGTGCTAAGAACTCCTACTCCGTCCACCATATTCATCAGTTTGAGCCCACAGCAACTCTTTGCTGTTTCCAAACCCAAAGAAATAGCTTTGCAGTAAGAGATTTGCATCGAGTGAAAAGCACATCACTGAAACAAACGCTTATTTTGAGGATCTTGAAATCCCTATTATTTGGAATGAAAAACCTGGGTTCAATGCATCAAGCTAAAAGGAGAAAATATTGACAAATAAAACGCTGTTTTGCCGGAAAATATAACTTTTATTCCAAAAGTCACTGACTTTTCATATTACCCTCGTATAATCGCACACGTAACTGCAGGTGTATGTAAGCGCTTACAACTGACTGCGCTCTCACAAACCTGTGTTGACGGCAGGCAGTCCGATAGCTAGGCAGCGTTTTAATAAGTACCGGCCGGCAACAAGTGTTCGCTCGCATGCACTCTATCCATTGCTGGTCAACCGCTAATTATGGGCGCGGAAGGTGCTGAGTACCATTTGGCCTGCAGCGTTGAATTACTTTGAACTATTTTACAATTGTAGTTATAGTAACAATTGGTGGTGAAGTAAAAATAGTTAATATACTAACTACCAAGTTGACGGCAACACTTTCAGTTATATAAAATCAAACAATGTGCAATACCAAAAGGTATATAATTCAAATTATTTTTATTTCAAACACTGGCAAATAAAATAGAATTTGAAAACCATTTCCTACACAAAGCCACACATAGGGTTAAGTTAAGGCTAAATAAACGGGGCTGCCGATGCATGATATGCGCTGGATCTTGGTTCCCTTACCTGCCTTGAAAGTAGAACTAAGCTACTAAGATAAATCCTGACCCAGACGTTATCATGCCGTTAATGCTGCCGAAATTTCCGGAGGCTATGGTATTCTGGATAGAAAGGGTATAAGAAGATAGTATCAGCTTGTCTAATATCCCACAAAGCTGGGGAAGAGTTAAAGTTGTCTCCGGGAAGAAGTAGTCACGAGAAAGCTTAAGAATTCAACCTTATAAGTATGCTAAAGGTGCCTTTACACGGGTCCATTTTCTAATAGATTTTTGTCGGTCAACTAAAATCTACCAATCGATGGCAATTCAACCGTAAAATGCAGCTTAAATGTATTGAAGATATTGTAATACTTGCACATAAGGTATTTTCTGAAAAATTCCAAATTTCGAAAGCTACACTCATACATATATCAAGATCATAACAAGTAGTGCACGTTGGCGACTTTCCTCGATATGAATGGGGCCTTCAAAAACCTAACAATCGAGGCATTTACTCGATCCCTACACTGCACTGGACGATATTCTACTGGATCTCAACAAAGGTGGAGTGGAGATAGTAGCGGATGCAGATGATGTAGGGCTGGCGATATCAAGTCTTTCCCCCTTTACGATTAGCGCAATCCTAGATGGAGTTTTGTTCGAGCTGCACAGCTGGGCCATAAAAAGTGGTGAGGTTGACAACCCGAACAAAAGGGAACTAATGCTATTTACCAGCAAAACAAGATTAACAAAATTCAGGCTTCTTCTGTTTAATTGAACTAGTCTCACACTAGTCCACTGAGCTATAAAGGAGCGTATGCATAGACATTACGGGCACTGTGAGTACAATGTCAGGACCGAGCCTTAATGTTCTGTTGAATTTGCCGCCCCTAGATTTAGCGATTCAGGAGGAGGCAATGAAAACAATGTGTCGACTGCACTATTTTCGTCTGTGGCACGACGATCGGAGCTCTGGGCACAGAGATTT